AGCGCCAAAAACCATAGCGCACGGCAAATGTCCGTGCTTAAAAACCAAAATCAATGTACGTGCCTTAATTAATGTAGTGCAGGAGTAGAGACAGGAAAAACCCTGCTCACTCTGCAGCCTGAGTCACTATGGCATTAGGTGTAAAACAGCCTGCCATAGGAATTTACTCTAGATATGTGAGCGTGCCCACTGATTTGTTCCAGCTCCAAGCATCAGCAGAGCTGAAAGAAAAATGAACAGCCGGGCAGATTAAGGCTTGGTAGCATGAAGCGCCAAGACCATAATGTATGACAAACACCTGCTGCAGGACTCCTAGAGTCTGTGCCTAAAAGCAGTACATGAAATAAGAGCTGGAAGCGTACGCACCAATTCAATGCACGTGCTTGCATTAGTGCAGCGCAGAAGTAGAGAGAGAGAGAGATATGAAAACCGGTCTGCTCAACTCTACAGAGTCACTATGGCATTAGGTGTAAAACAGCTTGCCATAGGAGTTTACTCTAGATATGCGAGCGTGCCCAGGGATTTGTTTCAGCTCAAAGCATCAGCGGAGCTGAAAGAAAAATTAACAGCCGGGCAGATTAAGGCTTGGTAGCATGAAGCGCCAAGACCATAATGTATGACAAACACCTGCTGCAGGACTCCTAGAGTCTGTGCCTAAAAGCAGTACATGAAATAAGAGCTGGAAGCGTACGCACCAATTCAATGCACGTGCTTGCATTAGTGCAGCGCAGAAGTAGAGAGAGAGAGAGATATGAAAACCGGTCTGCTCAACTCTACAACCTGACCATATAGCATTAAATGTTAAAACAGCTTGCTACTTAATGTTTCAGCTCAACGCAGCAGCAGAGCTGAAAGAAATATTATATTACTCGGGCAGACCAACGCTCTGTAGCATGAAGCGCCAAGACCATGGTGCACGACAAAATATCTGCTGCAGTACTCCTTAGAGTCTGCGTCTAAAAAGTACACGAACAAGAGTTGGACGCTTAAGCGACAAATCAAATGAACGTGACTGCGTCAGTGCAGCGCAGCAGGTAACGTTAGAGAGGGGGGGGGACCGCCAGCTCACTGTTATAGCTTGCTATAAGAAAACTCTGAAACACGTGAGCTCTTCCACTTGTTTCAGCTCGACGCAGCAACGGAGCTGAGATAAGTAGTTGGGCAACTAATGCTTGGTAGCTCGAAGCGCCAAATCATAGTGCACAACAAACATCTGCTGCAGGACTCCTCAGTGTCTGCATCTAAAAAGAGTACACGAACAAAGAGTTGGAAGCATAAGCGCCAAATCAAATGAACGTGTCTGCATTAGTGCAGCGCAGCAGTAGAGAGAGAGAGAGTGGGAAAAACCGCCTGCTCACTGTTATAGCATGTTATAAGAAATACAATAAGCTCTTCCACTTATTTGTTTCAGCTCAATGCAGCATCGGAGCTGAAAGAAATAGTAATTAGTCGGGCAAACTAATGTTTGGTAGCTCGAAGCACCAAAAACCATAGTGCACGACTTGACGTCCTAAAAATCAGTCCCTCTCATGTTGTTTAATAAACTTGAGAAACACTTGATCCAGGGAGGGAGTAGAGCAACGGGGATTTTATATCAGTAAGCTCGCCCCTTAACCCATAGCTTATTTCTACAGCTTGTGTCACCTGCGAGCTCGAGCCCAAGGCTGCTGTAGAGTATACATCATCTAATCCGCAGCTGAAAGAATCGATTACAAGCTTCCGGAGCGGGAATTAGATTTGACTAACCACCTGACTCACGAGGCGCTCTTCTGATGAACGCACGTGGTCTGGGGAAGAGAGCCAGAGAGAAGGGGATTAATTCCGTTCTCTCACTCTCTGTACACTCGGGCTCATGCCCGTCACCCCAAGCATCGAGCTCGTGCGGCGCCTCGGCAACCGCAGAACTGGAACAGCGGGGGTTGAACGAACATCTCTCCTTCCTCAGAAAGAGAGCGAGCCCAGAGCGCAACTTACTCACAAACACAGATATCACGGATACAAAAATAGATAAAGGCCGCAAAGCGGTCTTCCTACCTGTTTCCTCGTGAGTCTGTGTGACATGCATCCATACATATCGGAAACTCATTGTGTCCGCCTTAGAGGAGTAAACTGCTCTATATAAATAGATGGCTTAGAACACAAGAAACTCTTTCCGACGGGCAACAGATGATTAGCTTCCTGAAGGAATTAAAATCCGATTAAATAGCGCACAGCACGCATATATGAGCATACGTGACGTATGCTTGGGGCGGTGCTAAGCGCGATTGGCCAATAAATTGGCATGATGGTATAAGGGCTTCAGACATTCGTCACACCGGAGGTGTTCCCAAAGCGATGACGTCATCGCAGCATTGAAGTGAGCCTATGAGAGGGAACCTCCAAGAAACACTTCATAAAGCTCCAATATAAGGGGCTTTCCCTACTATTAATGCTTAGACAATTTACACTGCACACATCTGTGGTGCAGTGTGGCTCTGATACGGTCACTGAAGCTGATTGCGGCCACTGAATACTTGTGTTTATGTTTTTATACAGTCTGTGGTTTATTCCAGCCGTTATTTGTTGCATTATCATAATTTTTCTGTAACTCTGACTACATGTACTAAAAAAATTGAGAAATAATATTTCATAAAAACCTTTAAAATTGCCAGAGAAGTAAGGTAACACCAGTGACAAAAAAATGGTACATGTGGTCTTTAAATAAATGCACAAAAAATATAAAAAATCATTAAGCTGTCATATATCTGTATTCATAAAGTCAAAAGATGATATAATAATGTGGTCTAAGTTTAAATGTTGAAAAAAGAAATACATTTTAAGACATCTTGCCATACCAAAAGTGGACATTTCTGTAGAATGACCCAATACATTTTTATCGACATTTATAAAATATCGCCTAAGTTTTGCGCAAATCTGTAACGTTTCCATTACAGATTTGCGCAAAACTTTGGCGATATTTTATAATATTATATATATAAGATTATAGTACATTGAAGAATGATCATATGAAGGCTACGCCATGTGACCTGTAAATGCGAAAAAGCCGTTTCCATTGCAGTTTTGCAAATTATTCCTTTTTCGCATTGCCTGAAAAACCACCTCATGCGAGCGTGAAAACTTTTTTGCGATATATGGGCGTTTTTGCGAAATTGATGCGTCTCCATTAGGAGTATTTTCAATTCGCAATTTCAATTTGCGCAATTTGAAGGGTAATGGAAACGCGCCTCTTAAGAATTGGAATTTTCGAATCTTGCCGATAGTCGACTGATATCATATGTTTGGGGGCGGGGCAAAATACATTAACAAGAGTCAAGTCAGACTGGACAGTCATAATTACATGAACACACAGGGGAATATGTGTAACGGACGCCTCGCAGATACCAACAGTGTAAATAATGTTTTATATTTTGATTAGAAGATAGTTAACATTAAACGTCAGCGAAACCCTAAGAATTCACAACATTTTTTTTTTACATTAGTGCTCTCATTATAACGTTAGGCCATGTATATGACTGTAGTTACAGTTAGTTATAGTTGGACATATGTTATTAATGTTCTGCATTTCTGTTTTGAGCTGCGCGCTGAAGATGACCAATAGAATGAAGTATTTGATAGCAGGATTTTAATCAGTGGGATTTAACTCATCATTTATATCATATAGAATACGCTTCGTTACTTATTCAACATAACGTTAATATTACGACTAATGGGCTATCTGCACAAAATGCTCCGAATGCACATGAACGTGTCTGCGCGGCTCTGGATGAACTCCTTTTGTGGACGCGTTCTTCACGCAACAACGAGCAGAAACACAGCAACTAAACTCAAAATTCACAGCGTTTTATTATAATAGTGTTCTCATTATAATGTTATGTGTATGACAGTCCCAGTCATAGTTATTACTATTCTGCATTGTCGTTTGTACTGCTCGCGCTGCGCGCTGAAGAGATAATCACCATACAAACGCTTTACTGCAGCGCAACTCAACCAAATAATATATAAACTGACTGAAATGTTTTGAAATCACTTGTACCCTACCTGATCGAAAAAATCCAGTATTTCACTCTGCCTGTGTCAATTTGAGTCTTGTTAAAGTTTTAAATCCATGCCGCCAAGATGCTTCTCTGTTGGTCACGGACTATAGAAAGTGAAATGTAAAGGGGTCGTATGATGTTGCTAAAAATAACATAATTTTGTATATTTGGTGTAATGAAATGTGTTTATGTGGTTTAAAGTAAAAAAACACATTATTTTCCACATACTGTACATTATTGTTTCTCGTCTATGCCCCGCCTTTCTGAAACGCGTCGATTTTTACAAAGCTCATCGGTCTGAAAAGCGAGGTGTGCTGTGATTGGACAGCTATCCAGTGCGTTGTGATTGGCTGAATACCTCAAGCGTGAGACGGAAATGTTACGCCCCTCACCATACTGTGATGCCCTGTCAGGCCGGAGCGACGAGACAAAAACATTAAACCCATTACAAACGAGGCATTTGTTGCATCCAGTGGGGACATAATTACTGATTATAATGACTTATACTGTCTTTTTACGTGTTGCGTTGCATCGCGCCGCGTAAACATAAAACCATGTCTGCATTTGTGATCGGAGAAATGACAAACAACAAGCGCTGCTCTACACTGCCCAAAACTCGTGTTTGAGTCGTCAGTGGCAAATCCTTTAAATATAAAAAACGTACTTACAGTCTGTGAGTCAGAACAGCCGGCATTGTAGTCTACTCTCCCAGGATCAGGAAACAGTCCTCCATAAAATGTGCTGCACACATCTGAATATTTGGGTTGAAGTGTTCTGGAACAGTGTTGTAAATACAACTTAACACTGATTTCTAGTCGTGTCCTCTTTTGGAAGACCAAACAAAGTAGTTTCACTTTCACAATGAAATAGAGCGTTACACACGGCGGCCTTGAATGAGCGACAGCCGGCGGATTCGACGAAGGAGCGTCCGGAGGGCTTGCGGCAGCCACATGTGACGACCCCAGGCTGGACTCCGCTTCGTCCACGGTGAAAGCCGATCCGGCGATCCACAGCGCGAAGTTGACGACCAGCACAGATCAGCACTAGGCATGACGAAGTGGATTATCGGCCTCTTTTGGAAGACCAAACAAAGTAGTTTCGCTTTCACAACGAAACACGCAGCATCTTCACGACATGGCGGCAGCAACAACAATACTACAGCGAGAATCAAAGTTACGCCGCCTTTCTTTGCGTGAACATTTGGGCGGCGTTATGCAAATCTTCCCACATCGTGACGTAGATATGTGGGGGCGTGTTAGAATGAGCCGTTTTAGGTAGGCGTGGTTGACGCTTAACTTTTATAAAGAATATCTCTTTGGATTTGAGACTTTAGTCTTTGCAACTTTACAGATCTTCTTTATGCACCAAGAGCTTGTAACACTCCAAAGAGAAAGGAAAAATTGAAATCGCATCATATGACCCCTTTAAATCTATACAGGTGGTTGGATTTATACACACACATTAAAATATTTATTTGAAGCTTCTTTCTTTTCAGATTCTTATTTACAGGATTATAGGCTGTATATTAATTTATTGGAAGAAAACCAGTAGTTCTGTGAAATTAGACATTTGAGCAGCATCCCCATATATCCAAAATGGCATGATCATAACACCCCACGAATATTCGACTGTGAGATTGGTAGTCGAATCAGGCTCCTCCTATCAAAGCATTGAATCGTTTACTATTCGGGGTTACCCTTATATATCCTCTGATATGAAGTTGTATAACTTATAGAAATCTGTATCATACATTTAGTGTGTTAGTCCAAAGGAAATGTGACTACTTATAATATGCTGGAAAACCTGCATCTGTTACTGTGTTTCAAACAGCAAAAATGTGATGCACAACTCATTCTGAAGTTCAACCACATGCTAATTAATAATATTAATAATAATAATAATAATAATAATAATAATGAGACACGCATCTTGAGATCAAACTGTCTGGACAGAGAAAACAACTCTTATGAAAAAGAAGTTTATTCAAGTGTGCTATTAGTATACTTCTTTTAAACTAAAAATAGGAAAGTATACGTTCAGTCTACTACTTATTTACTTCTCAGAAATATACTTGAAATGACAATTAAGTACACTTGACTTATACTTAGAAAAAGTTTAAATATATTTGAGCTATACTTGTGCTCTGGGAATCCATGGTTTCGTTGTTATACTGTAGGGGGCGCTATTACACATTTTCTGTACAGAAACAAGCCAAGAAGAAACCGAAACAACAGATGCTTCCACATGTAATGTAACACGATCATCCAATAGGGACTGGCTGCAGACATACTGGGCGAGTGGAGCTCTACTCAAGAGCGGAAATATCTCACCTCCACTAGTGACCCGTCCGCCATGTTGGTCAGGGCAAGACTGCCTTAAAAACAAATAGAGGTAAATGGGGGAGCTGCATTTTTTTTTTCTAGATAAAAACACGATAACGTTTACATTTATCAGCCGATTTCATTGGTTTGTGATCTACATGGAATTAAAAATAACGCTGTCTCCAGTTATTTAGTTAGGCTTGGAAAATTAGAAATTTTCGTTAGAAATTGTAAAAGCTTACACTTGTCACACTTGTCAAGTTTGTTGATTTGGCAAATTTTTTTTCTGGTAACAATTAATGTAGTATAATCTAATTTACATTAAATATTTTTTTTTCTTTGTGGTAATAGCTTTCTCTGTCTTCAACCCCAACATTTTAGCTTTTCTTGTGCTTCAGGTCAGAACATAGCTCATTCCCATTGAAATACTGGAAACAAATCGAAATAATACATCTTTAAGTTCTAATAATTGACCATCATTGATAAAATGGAATAAAATCAGTAAATACAAATCAAAAATTGACACTGGTAGTCTGCTTTCTATATTTTCATAGCAGGATACAGATATAAACTCCACATCAAACAATAAGAAATGTAACTGATAATCCTTCATGGATCCAGTAAGAGTTACAGTGGTAAAACATTATGCACTAATACAGTGCAGTGTAATAGAGTAAAAATAGTAAAAGTGTTATGTGATATTTAAAAAGTATGTGTAGTACAAATTGTACTAAAGTGATAATAAAATAGTGAGTACAACAGTACAATAACATGTAAGTGATATAATAACAGGTTTCAGTTCTTGCTGTCTCTGAGAATAGTTTTTTTTTTGAGAATTTTTTTTTTAGTTGTGTAGTTCAAAACCTGACTAATAAGGATTAATTCTCAGCTGGTTCCCTCAAGGTTTACCAATGGGTTTTTATAATGGGGTTTTACAAATAATGGATAAAATAAGGTATGTGATAAAAATAACTTGACAATACTTTTGCTCTACCATGCAAATTACACACACTCATGCAGAAAACGCAAATTTTCAAGCCGTTAACAAAAAAATAAACAAATGCTCCTATCTTGATCACTAATATATAAGCATATTTTTTTCTCTGCATCTCTATTTCATATGAAATAATAGGAACATTCTATCCAAACATGAATCTCTTTTTTTAAGAACTGGTTTGACAACAATATTAAATGGGTTAGTCAGTTCCCTTTCATGGGAACTTCGAACTGGTCCTCTAGGGGTCGCTATGGGGAACGCCTCGTCGTGACCCGTGTCTGAAGCATACATTGAAAAAAACACCAACGAGGCAACAGCCATGACGTCACTACCGGTGCGACTATAGTATAAATAGGCGCCGGGAGAACACATCATTCTCTTCTTCGTCTTCATTGACTGTTCTGTTTGAAGCGTGCATTTCCAAGGAAAAAGTAAGAGCTATCTCTATTCATTATGGCGAGCACTATTTGACACCAGATGACACACACGATCTAATGCTGTGTGCAATCAGTGCTATGGCTCATGGGATATGATGACATGCAACAGTAGGTGTAGTGCGAGAGTCAATGTAATGGAAAGGGTGACCTCTGGTGGTGATTGAACGGAAGTCCATGGACAGGATTCGTGACACGCATGTTCATTTTTAAAAATATGTAATGTGACGTTAAGCTGGATGTTTTTTTAAATCAATTTATTTACACTTTTATGTACTCCTCAGTCTCTTCTGTGTCTTCCACGGTGGGTATTACTGTTCTACAGGATGTGCAACCGAACAAGGCACGCTGGAAACAGTCACCCAGTACAGTCCAGCTGAATCGGGTAAGGTGTTTTTTTTTTTTTTTGTTAATTTTGTTTTGTTTTTTAAATTACTGTTAGTTTTTTTTTTAAAATAGTTTTAAGACTAACAAAAAAAGACACATTGTAGTACTTTGCTGTTATTTTCATAGCTAAACCATGCCTTAATGGAGACGGGACCAGCCGATGAATTTTTGGCATCTGTTGGAACTACAGTCCTCACCAGGATGGATTTCCTTACTTTAGGGCACCAACCTGATGTAGAAGCAACAGTGAGATGCGGCAAACATAATATATTTTTACCCTTTAACCCATGCAGTACAGTATAGTACTATGTGCCCTTTTATGTCCTTAAATTTTCACAGATTGTTAATGCATTTCTTTGAATGTTAACAGATTTTGAATGCCTGTCTTTCTGTTGTGAAGGATACTGCTGAACTTCAGGTAATACAAAGACTTCCCTTGATCAAATATTCTGTATGCACGATGTGTGGAAAAAATGGGAATGTGGTTCCTTACTTAACTGTAGCACTTTTACTTAACAGGGCATAATGGTCCATGTCTTTAATTCTATAATAGACAGAGACTTGGTTGCCACCCTTCTGCGCAGACCCAATGTGCAATGTTCCTGTGAGTATCATTGTATTGTGACTGAGGCAGTATGAAGCCATTTTAAAAATATATATATTCTAAATAACTTATCTATTTATAAATGTCTAAATTGATTTCATATTTACTTTTTTTCTTAGGAAAATCTAGCAAATGTTATGTTGTTTTATGATATGTTGTTTTAATAAGATAATTGTCATTTTAACATCAACTCGTTATTACGAGAAAAGATGTCGTTTATACAACATAATCGAGTGGACAAAATAAATGTTTGTGGCAGCAATGCGCTACCGTACGTTTTAACTATAAAGTGCAAATAATTTCATTACATATATCAGATCAAACTCTCTTCATAAGCTCTTTATATTTTAAACATTTGAAGGTCAGACGCGGAACGAAAACAACTCAGAAAAAAGAGGAGACTAGAAAGAGCAGGTATGGGTTCTACTTTTATTCTTGTACAGCACAATTAACAGGGTTTTGACATCGACGCTACTCTTATTACTCTCCAATTTAGAGGCAATGGAAGCCCCCCCACCTCTTGATTACTTGACCACGGTAAGCACAGTATAAAATCCTATCAATCTATCAGTTTCCTTTCTTAATATGTCTTATCTACAGTCACATTTTAGACTGACTGTTGGTTATTTTGGACAGATGCCACTGGAGATCCTCGGGCAGATCCTGTTGAGAGTGGTCTCAGACGACGGAGACATGGCCTTTATGAGACTTTCTCTCACGTGCAAGCTTAGGAACATTGTCAGTGAGACAAAATTCAAAGAAGAGCCACTTCATGCGGCTAGTCAGTAAGTTCTTTAACTCTGTGTAGTGAGTACTGTAAAAAGTATTTGAGTGTCTGTCTGTCTGTTTCCTCTCATCTATCTGTCTGTTTTTTGTTTTTTTCTGGTAGACTGTATTGCCCTCAACTGTAAAACTTTCCCATAAAAAAAAAAAAAAACTTTCAGGCTATGCTTTCTCAAGCCAAACCAACCTAAATTTTGACTTGACAAACTTTTTAAATTTAGCTTTTTTTAATTTGACTTTTCAGTCCGAGTTAAACCTCTTTTTTGGCTCATTTTATCAGTAAAGGAAAACATGCCTAATAATTAATAATTCTGCACACCTGAATGTAAGGAGTTTTTCACTTCCGGCCTTCATGGACAATTATATATCACTTATAAATGATTAAATACTAAATCAATAGTAGTTAAGATTTATGTGGTCTGGAATTGGTAAAAAAGTGCTTTAAAAAAAAAAGACTAGAAAATCAACTTGCCTAATAATTATGCACACCGTATAGTTGATGGTAATGTTAATTATAAATTAAATCTCTTAGGTAATGTTACAATTACCGTACGTTTTAACTATAAAGTGCAAATAATTTCATTACATATATCAGATCAAACTCTCTTCATAAGCTCTTTATATTTTAAACATTTGAAGGTCAGACGCGGAACGAAAACAACTCAGAAAAAAGAGGAGACTAGAAAGAGCAGGTATGGGTTCTACTTTTATTCTTGTACAGCACAATTAACAGGGTTTTGACATCGACGCTACTCTTATTACTCTCCAATTTAGAGGCAATGGAAGCCCCCCCACCTCTTGATTACTTGACCACGGTAAGCACAGTATAAAATCCTATCAATCTATCAGTTTCCTTTCTTAATATGTCTTATCTACAGTCACATTTTAGACTGACTGTTGGTTATTTTGGACAGATGCCACTGGAGATCCTCGGGCAGATCCTGTTGAGAGTGGTCTCAGACGACGGAGACATGGCCTTTATGAGACTTTCTCTCACGTGCAAGCTTAGGAACATTGTCAGTGAGACAAAATTCAAAGAAGAGCCACTTCATGCGGCTAGTCAGTAAGTTCTTTAACTCTGTGTAGTGAGTACTGTAAAAAGTATTTGAGTGTCTGTCTGTCTGTTTCCTCTCATCTATCTGTCTGTTTTTTGTTTTTTTCTGGTAGACTGTATTGCCCTCAACTGTAAAACTTTCCCATAAAAAAAAAAAAAAACTTTCAGGCTATGCTTTCTCAAGCCAAACCAACCTAAATTTTGACTTGACAAACTTTTTAAATTTAGCTTTTTTTAATTTGACTTTTCAGTCCGAGTTAAACCTCTTTTTTGGCTCATTTTATCAGTAAAGGAAAACATGCCTAATAATTAATAATTCTGCACACCTGAATGTAAGGAGTTTTTCACTTCCGGCCTTCATGGACAATTATATATCACTTATAAATGATTAAATACTAAATCAATAGTAGTTAAGATTTATGTGGTCTGGAATTGGTAAAAAAGTGCTTTAAAAAAAAAAGACTAGAAAATCAACTTGCCTAATAATTATGCACACCGTATAGTTGATGGTAATGTTAATTATAAATTAAATCTCTTAGGTAATGTTACAATATACACAGTGAAGTATAGTGCAACAGAATGTTCATAAAGTGTAAATAAAATACTACACAGATATTACAGAATAAACTCTGTAATTCCGTATAATTTTACCTCAGATGATACATGACTAAAATCCTAGATATGTGCTGTACTTCATTTTACTTTTTTTCACCTTAGCGTTTTTTTATGTACTTCTACATTTTATTAGAGTATTCTGTTAAGTTCGCGCATGCGTTTTTAAAGGAGGGCAGAGCAAATAAGACGCTGAAAGAAGGTCTTGCTTTAACTTCAATCGGGTCGATTTACGCCATGTTTATTTCGTTTGACGAAAATTGTTTAAAACGGAGTTGTATGGATTAGTTATCGTCGCTGTAAAGCACAGTTTCACCGTTTCAACACATAAAGTTTGAGTTCATAGCGTTGTTCACGAGGAGGCAAAAAACACAAGACTGCAACAAGGTTGGGCTTATTCATTGACTGAGTTTATTAATACACAGTTTGCATTATTAAGTTGTATTTGGACCTGTAAGGGTAATTTAGTAGTGATGCATGGAGATAATGCTTGCGATCCAAACGAAACTGAAACTAAACAGACTGGGGCGAAACAAAGCTTACTGATATTAATTAGACTTCATTTGAATTAACTAAACAACTTGTAAATAGTGTAATATGTGTTAAAAATGTCACACTTGTTATTTTAGATGGTATTACCAGCATAACCTCTGGTTAAGCCAGTGGTGTAGTTAATTTCTGGGTCAATGGCTGGACAGATTCCCCATCAGACACCAGACTAGAAATAACCAGCTCATATCAGACATATCCTCAACACATTATGATATGCTTGAGTCTAATGATTAAATGGTTTCTTATGCCTATAAGGGCAATTTTAATTTTACAGTGCTTAAAGAAAATAAATAGTCAACTTGCCATAATTAATTCACTTTCACTTTAACTCTTCACAATACATTTTAAATGCACCATTATGAAAACGAAAGATGGCAGATTCTTAAGCTTCTCCGAATTTTACAAGTTCTACTTTTTTCTTTATAGTATTGAGCTATACAGCTTCTCAGCCTCCGAACAAATACAGGTAAACACATTTTGCCCATTTAATACCAACGGCTAAGTGTCTGAAATTCAGTGTGGAGTTTGAAGATGTGCTGATGAATATTAAGCATCTTATTCTCTCAAACAGGGCATACAGTGGGAATCCAATTAATTAAAGCTGTATTATCCAGATTGTTTACCCATCCTGATTTGTGTCACTCTTTCTCTGTAGGGTTTGAACGATCTGGGAGAAGACCGCTGGAATTGAACAGACGCCATGAAAAAATTTCTCCAAAATGCAATGAGCATATAAAGAAAATGACTGAAGTCGTCAATGAGTTTGAAAACGATTTCAGTCTTGCTTTTAAAACCCTCATTATAGGAGCAGTTGTTGGAATAGGTGGCTTGGTTTTAGGATTAGCTTTAGCTGCATTTACTGGAGGGGCTTCTGCCATGGTCTCTGGATTGGGGACAGCTGCGCTCGCAGGTGCTGGAATTGCTCTTGATATTGGGGAATTCAAGAAAACACAGCAGGAGAAGAACTTAAGACAAACCATAGAAAAATAACTTGAGGAATTTCAGAATAAAATCAGCCCTATTATTAACATGCTAGAGAAGATTAGTAATACCCTACGCTATCAAAGCACAAAGCCAATGCACTACGGGAACGTTTCTCCGACTGCTTTGAAAAAATACACCTCTTCCAGAGAGATAGCAGCAGAGAAGTGGGTGCACGGAAACATTTGGCTGGAGATCTTTCAGAAATTGTAGCTGAGATGAGTTCTGTGCTTGTAATTCTGGAAGAGATCATCGAAGACAAAGAGGAGCAAGATGACGATGACAACCCTGAAGAAACACCCGCACATGAACAAATAGATGAAAAAGAGTTCAAGAAAAAAGCTGAGAAATTCATTGATGAAATGAGGAAAGGAATCGATCAGTTACAGAATGTCATGAATGAAATTGATCTAACAAAACAAAGACTATTATAAAAATAATAATAAAATCTGATGAAATAAAACTATGTGAACAACTGACAGAAAACAACAGCCCAACTAGCATCTCAATGTATTGAATGATATAAACATCCAATTGTCCTACAGTGATTAATGTTATAAAAATGTACCTGTTAACTCTATCAGGTCTATCAGGTATGTTAGAATTATACAGGAAATATATATATATTGGATGTGCAGAAACTTACAGTGATTACATTGATTTTCTATGTATATTAGATTATTTTTTATGTATATACTGTGCTTTATTATAATTTTTTTTTTACTTTTATTACACTAAGATATATTACAATGTAGACCCAATAAAAAATAAAGTAATTACAAACAGAATAAAGTAATTATCTTTAAATCTTAATGGTCTTTTCTGGTTTAATTCATTGCATTGAGTGTAAATGTATCACACTTTTGTGCCAGATACTTTTTCTCCCACACGTAGTCCTTTTCATTTTCACAGTCCACTAGATGAGCTCAAGAGCAGGTGAGATGATATTTCTGATTGTAGTCTCTTCAGTGAATTCACAACTCTCCTTCTGCTCCTGACTCTCCCTCCCCTTACTGTAAATTCATCATTAGTACTAAGATATATATTTTTTCTCTCATTCAGCACGAATTCAAATGTTTCCATATTCATGATGCATTTGATTGCTAAACTATTATTTAGTATGTAAACCATGGCTTTGTACTTAACGCGGATTGTACTACGGATTATTTTAATTAACGAGTGTATCTATATGTTTGGTTGACTGTATATGTAAGGGATAATTCACATATTAAAGATGTTAATAATATTTGCGCTGCAATATTTGACCGGAATGATAAAAATAATGGTTATTTTCGTCAGTTATAACTTGTTAGATGTAGCATTAAACTCGCATTTGTCACAAAAACACGCACACTCACACACACACACTGTGTAATATATTAATTATTATTATATTAATATATAATATTCTGATAATGAACAGGCTGGAGCATTTGCAGTGCTGTATTGTGTGTGTGTGAGGCACCTTCGAGATCAAACAGCGGAACATACTCCTTAATTTGTGATCATACAGTTCATTTGAAACTGCAATGTGTTGATTTTTATTTTAGGATGCGCTTTGTCATCTCGGTTTCCTTTCCGTAAACTTGTTTGTAGAGCGTCGCGCCGCACAAAAATTAACCATCAGCATATACACCTGTTAACCTGTTGATTATTTAAGTCAAATATATTTTTCGTATTCAATCCTTTTATATATAGACTATAATTTAATAAAAACAGTTTTTGTTATTTTTAGTTAAACTTCATCTCTGTTGCTCGTCCGCCGCATTCTTTCTCTCCTCTGACCCTGTAGTTCTCGCGGTTAGTGTTTGTGGCACCAGTCCCAGTGTTTCTTCAGTTACTCCTGCTATTTCTTGATGTTGAGAGTTCGGTGTCGCACATAGATTGCACTTGACAATGCCTTCTTATCATTTTCTCTGATTAACTGAAAATAACCCTCATAGCAAACGTACATCTCGGAGACGTCTATTTGACGTCTGCATTTAGATGCAATACATCTATAGGGCTTTTCCTTTTAGATGTCAAATAGACGTCTATTAGATGTCTTTAAGATGTTTATGATTTAGAATGCATGTAAAACTGACTTCTGAAAGACGTCTGTCAGATGTTTGTACACAGCAGATGCTTTCCAGATGAAAAGATCTTTAACAGACATCTTGCAGACGTACATGTGTTATCTGGGAATGTCGGTTTCCTTTCCGTAAACTTGTTTGTAGAGCGTCGCGCCGCACAAAAATTAACCATCAGCATATACACCTGTTAACCTGTTGATTATTTAAGTCAAATATATTTTTCGTATTCAATCCTTTTATATATAGACTATAATTTAATAAAAACAGTTTTTGTTATTTTTAGTTAAACTTCATCTCTGTTGCTCGTCCGCCGCATTCTTTCTCTCCTCTGACCCTGTAGTTCTCGCGGTTAGTGTTTGTGGCACCAGTCCCAGTGTTTCTTCAGTTACTCCTGCTATTTCTTGATGTTGAGAGTTCGGTGTCGCACATAGATTGCACTTGACAATGCCTTCTTATCATTTTCTCTGATTAACTGAAAATAACCCTCATAGCAAATGTACATCTCGGAGACGTCTATTTGACGTCTGCATTTAGATGCAATACATCTATAGGGCTTTTCCTTTTAGATGTCAAATAGACGTCTATTAGATGTCTTTAAGATGTTTATGATTTAGAATGCATGTAAAACTGACTTCTGAAAGACGTCTGTCAGATGTTTGTACACAGCAGATGCTTTCCAGATGAAAAGATCTTTAACAGACATCTTGCAGACGTACATGTGTTATCTG